TTTGCAAATTGCTGAAATATAATATATATATTTATATTATTATTATTAACACAGGCATATATTTTTAAAGATCAGTCTGTATTGGGTGAGTAACGTGGTGAACATCACTCCGTACGAATGTACTTGCCAGGACATCAACTGGTACTCATTTAAGGATTGGTCGAACTAGGAGCCAAGGTCAATTCTGAAAAAACCCCATCTATGCGGATTCGATCCCAGGACATTCCAGCGTGCAGGCCGTCCAGCTGCTACACTACATGTGCTCCAAGAGTATGAGAAAAACTGATTGCGAAAGGGACAACAGAGGACCTGGTTGGGGAAGGAAACAGATCTGCAAACAAACAACGGTTACAGCTCGGCAAAAAAACGGGGTGAGGGTTACATATTCCCAATTACTATAAATACCTGACGGAGCCAGACATTTTTTTTCGAAAGTTACCTTGGCTTCCAGGTCTACCCTTGATTAAATTGGTCCCTGGGAAGTAAAGGTGGCTGGTGTGATGCTGATCACATCACTGACCGAGTGCTGATCGGTCTATAAAATATAGGTCGAGCCTTGTATGCTCAGTACACCTGAAGATGTGGAAACTGGTGCTTTACTTAAACCGAACAATTTGTTCTGTAGAACATCTCAGCGGCAAAATCCGACCAGTTATGAACAAATCCTCAAAAAATTTCTTATGAGTTCACAGCGAACCTATGCTCTCTTGGGAGATGACAGGAAGAAGAAAAGTGGGAAATGAACTAAATTAAACATGATTTGCAAGCTGAATTATTCAATTTATATATGAACATAATTCGCCTAATTATTAATGGCTTTCTTAAAAGCAGTGTGATGAACTTGAGTTCAACCAGGTGGCGCACTGTATTGACTCGTGTGTCATTTACAATCCATTGAAAGAACCGGGAAACATGTATGCTTACCATTCCGAGGAATTATTAATGTCTTTTTAAAAAGCAAATAGTCATTTTGAAAGCGATGTCCATTGCCAACATGGACATTTCAAATTATTAAATTGTATGCACACGCAGTAATTTCGAAAACTGTAGATTGATCTGCGGCAACTGAGAGTGAATTAGCGGAATCAACTGACAGGATTTCAAAAAGTTATTTCTTTTTTTTTTTTTTTTTTTTGTGGAGGTTCCTTTTCCACGCCTTTAGGCTGACAGGCATAAAGGGCTAGACCTATATTTTGATAGACCAGTCAGCACAATCTGGGTGATGTGATCAGCATCACGCCTGCCGCCTTTACTTCCCGGGACTGCACCCGGTACCCACTCAAGGCTGGGTCGACCTGGGAGTCAAGGTCATATTTGACAAAAGTCCGGCTCCGCTAGGGATTGAACCCACGACCTTCTGATCCGCACGCGAGCGTCTAGCCGCTACGCCACGCCGACTCCCAAATGTCATGCGTGACTCATTTCCTTTCTGGTCTTTTCTAATGTTGCAAGTGTTCTTGATAAAAACCACTACTTATGAATTTAAAAATAATAAACAAATAATAATCCAATGTTTTAACATGTCAACAAGCCGGAAGTGATGCAAAAGTCGATCACAAATTTCCGTAAGTTGTAAGTTTTCAAATAAATGGAACCGTTCTTGTCAATTATGGCTGGACAATAGGGCATAACTATAAACTTGCGTTTCGTTTTGTTGTGACATTTTGTGATTACGTTGAAAGGCTTCCTTTGTTTGATTCATCTTGCCTAAAAACGTTGCTGCAGTATGTATCTGACAAGAAAGAATTGTCAAATATAGAATAACTGACATCAATGTATGTAAATACAAAACAAACTATAAGATGTTTGAGAAAGATTCTGGATCAACAATAGAAGTGGTAAAACATAAAGATAATTTGGTAGTACATGCCGGGGAGGGAGTCGCCGTGGCGGAGCGGCTAGACGCTAGCCGAGGATCGGAAGGTCGTGGATTCGCTCCCTGGCTGAGCGGGACTTTTTTCAAAAACAGTCTTGGCTCCCAGGTTGACCCTGCCTTGAGTGGTTAGCGGGTGCAGTCCCCGGAAGTAAAGGCGGCCGGCATGATGCTGACCACATCACCCATCTTGTGCCGATTGGTCTATAAAATATAGGTCTAGCCCTATGTGCCCTATTTGCCCTCTACGCCTAAAGGCGTGGAAAAGGGTCCTTTTATAACTTTACTATACGCCGGGGACCACTAAACATACTGAGATGACTCAATGGCTGGTGTGCTAGTACTGATACGATGCCTATCTTTTTACGAGGCATACATAAGAAGAAAATAGATTACAGAAACATCCTCTTTGTATACAGAGTTAGCCAAAACATGTATACACAGTAATCGCCCAGCTGTGAAATGTATCCACATGTACAATATTTAGTGTCTTTGAATACATTACGGTAGCAATGGCGCTTTTTAAAAAATAACAGCCTGTATAATTTGTTTGATAGTAAATTTAAGACACGAACAAATGTATACGATTTACATGTGATGTATGACATTACAATGGATGCTCAAAGT